TATGTAAGAATTGGATTTGTTTTGTCTTCCTGGAATCCTCCCTTCTCTGCTTCCCTGACTCCTACTTATCCTTCAGGTCTTAGCTTAAGCACTACTTCCTTAAAGTCACCTTGCCTGAGACCCCAGTTAAAATTAGGTCCTTTTGGTATACTCGGTCATTTCACTTTTCATAATTTGTAGTTCCCTTGCTGTTTATGTGAATGGTGTTTGTTTAATGTGTGTGCCCCACATCGCAGTGTAAGCTCCAGAAGGAACAGTAGCCATATCTGTATCGGTTACTGCTATATAAGCACAGCGACTGTAGTAACAGTCTGGCAAATAATAGGCACTCAGTAAATATTTGTTGAATGAAAATGCTGTTGTTAGAGCTTGTAATTAGAGGCTTTGCCAAGATATGAGATATGTGCATGCAGGGGGGAGGTAAGGGAGTGGGAGAGAAAGGTAGATCAACTTGTGATGTTACTACGAAGTCATAGGCTTTGTTTTACCTTGTCTGTAGTAATATGGCAGATTGGGCTCACGATTCCTTTCATAGTTCATCTTTTGATTCCATTCCGCAGTGGTGATGGATCCTGTAAGCTCATTTGAATGGGATATGTGACAAATTAACTCCCCCCAAAGAATATTTGAGATGTTCCAAGTAAACGTATTAGAAATGCTTGCTAATCCATAGCTGTTAGAAATAAAGATATCTAATTGATACATAGCTTATAAATTAGTAATTGTCTTTTGTCTCTGTTTTCTAATTGAAACATAAAGACAAAGTAAATTACAGTTCTTGGATTTTTTTGATGTTTAGTGTTAATATTTTGAATCCTACGTCTTGCATCTTACAGAGAAAATCAGGGTTCCATAAAATAAAAGGAGAGAGAAAACAGTTGGGATGAATGGGCAGAAGCTTAAAGACAGCTCACTTAGTTTCTTCTATTTGTTTTCATGCTGAAACTGTAAAAAATATTTTTATACAAAACTATAACATTTATATAGTTTATTAACAGTTATCAATAGTTCTGATAAATTGGTTGATTGTATTACTAGACAGTTATAATAAAATGGAAATTTAGTGGGAAGACATCCATTGAAAATAAATTATTATTGAACACAGCAGTATCTTGTATTTTGAAGTATTTGACCTGAATACAGTATTATTCGTAGATATTTTGCTACCTTTTTCATGACCGTTGTTCAGCTTTTGAAACTACTTGTAAGTGACTGACTACTTCAGGAGAAAACCTGGTGGGTAGTTAGGCTGTTGGAGGTGGAATGCAACAGAAAGAACACGGGCTTTGGAGCCTGGCAAACTTTTGTTTGAATCCCAGTTCCATCTCACATTAGCTGTGTAGTTGTGAGCAAGCAACTATAAACTTTGGTTCCTTTTCAGTAAAACAGAGTGGAACAAATCTAGAGTGGTCTTGAGAATGTAATGAAGTATCATATATCAATTGCAGCGGTTAGCATAAAGTAGGACCTTCCTTCTTAATTTCCTCATGGAATCACTGTAAAAATCATTAAAACTTACTGAGCACTGAACTGTAAGCCGGGTACTGTTGAAAGTACTTTACATGCAGTAGCTCCGTGCTCTTGACCTCCTGTGAGGTAAGCAAGTAGTGCGGTTATCTTCATTTTACTTCTCTGCAGTGATACTGAATAAAGCTGATTATTCTCTTAACACCTTTTCAAATGTTTGAACACCATTATTCTGTTTGGCTTTGTTAAGCATGTATTTGTCACATGACATTGTTTTCACCTTTATCTAGATGCTTGCTGTTACTACTATTTTTTAATCAATATGGCTCTTAAAAATGTGGACTGTAGAAATGAATACAGGGGTAAGGTAGGCTGACTGGCAACAGAGTTTACAGGTCGGTGCTGATGTGTTCTCAGTGTCCTGGGGGGTTAGATTTGCATTAGTTCTTTTAGTTACAGATTAGCAGCTCTCGTTAAACTCTTAGGTGGCTAACTCCCTTTCTGAATACCTTCTAAATCAGCACTTCTCCATTTCTTCTCCATTAACTTTTTGAAACCAAATGTAAAGCTTTATACTCACTGTTGTTACATTTCACTTTAATTTTAGTTTATTTCTCCCAGATCGTACACTCTGAGGATTTTATAAGCATGTTTTCTGTGTCTTTATGTTATGAATAATCAAAAACAATATAGGGCCGAGGACAGAGTTCTGAGGCACTCCCCTAAAGACTTCTTTCATCTAGGCTGATCTAGAGTAGTGAATTTACCCAACTACACTAACATCCAACTCACACTCAAACAACATATTTGCAAAAATAGTGTGAAAAACCATCTTGAATACTGTTTTGGCCAGAATACACTTTTTTCTCCCTGGCTTTGCTAATTGTGTGATCTTGGGCAAGTACTTTAATTTCTAAGCGTGTTTTTTCAACTATAAAATGGGTTGTTGCAGAGGATTAAATGAGGTAATGCATATAAAGTGCTTAGACAGTGTCTGGCAGATAGTTGGAGCTCAATGACTATAAGTTATTATTTTTTTCCCTTGCTTCTGAGAAGTCTAGTAATCCTTCTTTTCCAAGATGTAAATGCAGTTGATTTGGCATTATTTGTTCTGTTTTAATTCATGCTGACATCTAGTGATTATTATATTCTTTTCTAAATATTCAGAAACCATTTCCTTTCATAATCTATTCTCAGATTTGACTAAAAATTAAGTTTATATGTCTGTGATTTCTGAAATCTACTTCCCTACTCCTCCAGCTCCAAAATTCGAAGCAACCCTGACCCATCTCCAGGCCCTGATTATTTTTTTCTGAGCTCTTTCTCTAAGATTTTAGGAGTCAGCTTTCTGATTACACTTGCTAATTGCTTTTGCAGTGTGGAATGAATTGCATCTGGAACCCAAGACTTACTACATAAAGTTGTTTTAGTCTCTCTCATTCACCAGGCTGGGGTTTCGGTTCTCATTGCCCTTCTACAACTTTAGTTTAAAAACTGAGAGAAGATCAGCAAAATACAAGTTGAGCAATTCTGCCTTCTGTACGTGCTCAACCTTAACAACATCCTCTCTGAGCAGTGATTCTCTCAGTTCCTTGTTCTCTTTGAAAAAAAGTATGTTATTTTATGGAGATAGCACTTAGTAAGAAAGTATGAAACTTGGGTCCTGATTCCCACTCTGCCTCTTAATTAGCTGCGTGATGCTGGGCACGTTGCTTTATCTGCTTGTGCTTCTATTTTCTCATCTGCAAAAGTCATATTTGTCTCCAAAGAGGTGTGCACGAGGTAAAGTATGTAAAGCATTTATGAGATGTTAAGTGGTGTACTGTATAAGGTGGGTTAATTTTTATTTGAATGTAGCTATAAAAGCTTTTGTTATCTTTAAGTAATTTTTTCTAAGCCTTAGTTTTCCCTGAGCTTTCTAATTCCTGATACTACATCTGTATGTTTTTGCTCTTCTGTTGTGTTCATCCTGATTTATTTAGCCCCATTAACTACTCTCCGGAGAGTCATTCTGCAACCACATTGGATGCTTCACTCTTTTTCATCATTGGAATTGTTTACGGTTATATATGGAAAATTTAGAGAGATCTCTTGTGAGCCATTTCACTTAGGCCATGGGGGTCATGCCTTTTGTTTTGTTTTTGAAATGTCCTATTGTAAACTGTGATACATATATAACTGAGTCTAGTGCTGTCTCTCTTTTTACTTATAGAAACCCTTTACGATAAGGTCACTTTCTCCTATGTTCCTGTCTTAAATATGTTGTTCACATTATAACTGTGCATAGTATGTCCCCTTCTGCTTTCTTGGCCTTACGGAAGAAATCTGTCAAAAAGCAAGTCAGCAATCATATTTTGGTAGAATTAGACTTTTAATATAAAAAAGAATACTCTTAACATGTCTTTATTAGGACAGTGTTCTACTTCTTCGGTATGGCTGAGTGGTACGTGCTTTATTTCTATGACCATATCAGTTTTAACCTTCTTTTAGTCCCTTCTGTTTTTCTCTGTTTTTCTCTGTTTTTTTCTTAACTCAGTTGTGGATTATGGAATAAAAGTGTTTGATCTTCAGATTTTGGGTGTTAGTGAGGGGTGCCATGGGCTTGGTGGTGGTGGTGGTAGTGGTGAGCAGAAGGCTCTCCCTAAAATTATATCTACAGTAAAAAAAAAAAAAAAAAAAAAAAAAAAAAAAAAGACTCTGATAACTAGACCTCCAGAATGACTACCCGTTAGGATTTATTGGTGAATTGTAAACATGCAACCAAAACTTCTCATTTAAAAAAATTAAAGGGATTCTTGACATTCTGAAAATAATGTCAAATGAGTATAAAATATTAAGAGTGTTTTTAAAATTCCTTCCAGGCTGACTACATCTCAGAAAACATCAACTCTTCTCAGCGGACCAATTCTTCAAGTGAAATATACCTGTACTGTTTTAAAAAGCTTTGTGCTTCATCATGGAAAAATTTACCCCCCCCAAAAATGAAAATGAAGACATTTGAGAAGGTGATTTAAGGTGTGGATTTTTGAGAAAGTATCCCATCAAATCATTGAACCTAAGGATAAGGATTAAATAGATTAATCCTAAACACTTCTCTTTTAAACCAGGAGGATTTCATCTTAACAGAAAAACAATTTTTATTCAATATGTATTTTCTGAAATTAAAAGAGAGAGACAAAAGTAGACTTAAAAGAAAATAGATGAAGATGGTTAGTAAATAAGCAGTGTCAACTCTTTTCTGATGAGGATAATTCAGTGATGTTAAATTCTTTCCAAATTCCTGGTTGTGGTCCTGAAGACAAGACTGTTTTTTGATGGGACATCTGATACTAGGGGAAGTGGGACCTTCTGTGTATTCAGCTCACAGTTGTAGAAGATGCAGTCATTGGCATGAGTGGCTTAAAAGAGGAAATACAGCAGTTTTCAATTAAATCCAAAAGTACGGTCATTTTTTTACTCCTGTGATTGTAAAAGCCTCTTCATAACCACTGAAAAAGAATTGACAACTATTTTAAAAGATTAAAGAAAGGCAGATGTCTGCAAACAATTCCCCTCCATCAGCCCAGAAGTCTGTATTACCTGCAACTCTTCCTGCTGTGCTTCCCACTCCTTCTCCGTGTTCAAGTCCTAAAACAGGACTCTCTGCCCGGCTCTCTAATGGAAGCTTCAGTGCACCATCACTCACCAACTCCAGAGGGTCAGAGCATACAATTTCATTTCTGCTGCAAATTGGCCTTACACGGGAGAGTGTTACTATTGAAGCCCAGGAACTATCTTTATCTGCTGTCAAGGATCTTGTGTGCTCCATTGTTTATCAAAAGGTACTGTGCATACTATTTATGTCCATACTTTTTCTAATTAACGTTGTTCCTAATGCTTTTCTATAAATTATACATGCAACAATGAGTTAACACATGAGTCAATTGATTATGTCCTAATTTTGATCATTTTGGGAAAAGTGCTAATAGGCTAGAAGCCTAAGGTCTGAAATTTCAGGTCCTAACAACTGGAGCCTATATCCTAACTTTAAAATACTGCCTATTCAATTTTCCTTTTTAGGAGCATGAAAATCCATATAAAATCAAGAGGACTTAAGAAATCTCCTTTGTTTTTATTTTATTTTTTTTTAATTTTCTTTTTTTCAACATTTATTTATTTTTGGGACAGAGAGAGACAGAGCATGAACGGGGGAGGGGCAAAGAGAGAGGGAGACACAGAACCGGAAACAGGCTCCAGGCTCCGAGCCATCAGCCCAGAGCCCGACGCGGGGCTCGAACTCATGGACCGTGAGACCGTGACCTGGCTGAAGTCGGACGCTCAACCGACTGCGCCACCCAGGCGCCCCTCCTTTGTTTTTAGAGAAAACAGGAGTTAGAGGGTGCAAGCCATCCAGATGGCTTCCCTAAAGGATAAGACCCAGCTGTGGCTGAGTCCCAGGTGCATACATGTTCTTCCTAGGTGCGCTGTTTTCCGCCCTCTTTTTTATACTCTCTTCTTTCCCTTTTGGTCTTAATTTCACCTAAACTGCCATCTGATATGAGAAGACCACTCTCTTGCTTAAAAAATAGGTAAATGAGTTTTGAATATATGAGAATACATAAAAATTTGAAATTGAGGGTAGTTTTTGTTTCCTCTCTACCTGTCTCCTGTCCTGTACTATACCATTTTTGTTTTTGAGAGAGCGCGCGCGCAAGCAAGCATGAGAGCGCTAATGGGAGAAGAGGCGGAAGCAGAGGGAGAAGGAGAGAGAGAACCTCAAGCAGGCTCCATGCCCAGATCCAAGCCCGACACAGGGCTGGATCTCACAAGTGTGAGATCATGATCGCAGCTGATTCCAAGAGTCAGACGCTTAACCAACTGAACCACCCAGGCACCCCTATACTATACTATTTTTTAAGGAACCTTAACTAAATGTCTTTAATAATCTTGATTTGGTGGATAAGCAGGGACGTTCTCTATTTTATCATGAAACTGTATATTTACATAGTGTGAATTGGGTACATTTTATTTTTGATGGACTGAGCATATGGTTCAAACAAATTAGTATATTTTTTATTTTAAAAATCATTGCACAAGATTAATATATTTGGATTCATGCTCTTTATCTTCCTGTTTTTGTTTTAATTTCTTTAAAAATTAAAAAAAATTTTAATGTTTATTTTTGAGAGAGACAGAGCACAAATGGGGGAGGAGCAGAGAGAGAGAGAGAGAGAGAGAGAGCAAGCTGGACATGGGCTCGAACTCACGAACCATGAGATCATGACCTGAGCTGAAGTCGGATGCTTAACTGACTGAGCCACCCGGGTGCCCCCCAAAGTATTTTTTTAATGTTTATTTATTTTGAGAGAGAGAGAGAGAGGGAGACCAAGCATGAGTGGGGGAGGGGCAGACAGAGAGGGAGACACAGAATGCGAAGCAGGCTCCAGGCTCTGAGCTGTCAGCACAGAGCCTGATGCGGGGCTCAAACCCACAAACCTGAGCCAAGATCATGACCTGAGCTGAAGTTGGACACTCAACCAATGGAGCCACCCAGGCGCCCGCCCCTGTTTTTCTTTTAATTTCTTATCTTTGTTTGTTATTATCTTCTGATGTAGATGCATTTAATAGTCTAAAACATGTGATGTGGTTTGTAAAAATAATCTGTGCCTGTGTGTCAACAATAACTTGTCTGTTGAAATGTGGCCTAAAGATTCACTTTCCTTTTGTAGATCTGTAGAACCATCTGCGTGCCGTTAAGTATTTTTGCTTTTATTTTCCCTTTCATTAAATGTTACAGAGGTTTTTCACAAATATTTTTGCGACAAGGTTTTTAATTTAAAGGTAAGCTTTTAACTTAACTATAGTTTGTAACTTTAATGTTTCCTTTTTATTTGAGTCGTAGAAATTCTAAAAAATGTTTGTTTATTTTGTGAGAGAGTGTGCCAACAGGGGAGGGGGAGAGAGAGAGAGAGAGAGAGGGAGAAAGAAAGAAAGAGAACCCCGCACAGGCTCCACACTCAGTGCAGAGTCCGACACAGGGCTCCATCACACAACCCTGGGACCATGACCCAAGTCGAAATTAAGAGTTGGACACTTAACCAACTGAGCCACTCAGGCACCCCAAACCTATAGAAATTTATAACCAATGTTTTGGCAGAGTCTGTATTTATTGTTTTCAATCTTCTAAAATTTCACTTTGTTCTTACATTTATACAGAGGCATGCTGATTTCCTACAGGATGATTTTAGAATTCATGTTACTTCATCTTTAATATAGATGTGAGAAGTGGGTCAGATGGGTTAAACTCTTAGAAAACTTGATTAAAAATCATAATCCATGAAAAATTACAGTGATACCAAGGAAATAAACAGGATAGAGCTGAAGGAAAAAAAAAGATAACTTAGGGTGAACTTTATATAGAATTATTGATTCTAGAAATATCATAGTGAACTGAATTTGAATCAGTATTATAGTGATATGGGGATGTATCTGGCAAAAATATGTAGCATATATAGGGCATAAATATACTACACATTTCTAAGAGTTTTGAGCTTGAAACTAGGTCAGCTGTATTGCTTATTTACTGTTTAACTTTGCACAAGTGATTTGACTTCTCTGGATTACAATTTCCAAATCTATCAATGACTGGGTTGGGATGATTTCTAGTGTGTAATTACAGTAGTGAGGTTATGAAACATTTAATCAAAATTGGGTCTAGCTCAGATTCTGAGATTTTTTTTTTTCAACGTTTATTTATTTTTGGGACAGAGAGAGACAGAGCATGAACGGAGGAGGGGCAGAGAGAGAGGGAGACACAGAATCGGAAACAGGCTCCAGGCTCTGAGCCATCAGCCCAGAGCCTGACGCGGGGCTCGAACTCATGACCGCAAGATCGTGACCTGGCTGAAGTCGGACGCTTAACCGACTGCGCCACCCAGGCGCCCCCAGATTCTGAGATTTTATAGAGACATTTCATGGATCCCTAACTCATTTGGAAGATGGAAAAATCATGTCAGAAGTTCTTTTGTTTTTTTCCTTCCCTCTTGGGTACTTGCTCATTAGTCATCCATTTTCATTACCTACATCTCTACAGCTCCAGGTTGGCTGCCAGGGCTCTGAGGGTCATATACCTGCTTTTCTTATATCTATTCTTAGTAAATGCATTTACCTGAACCTTTTAAAAGATGGGGTACTGGTTAAATTTTAGGTTGGGAAGATTAACCATATATCCCTTCTCTCAAAAAGCTTACAGTCTACTGAAGGAAACAGAGTAAAACATGAAAAGTAGAAAGTGAGGTTAAGGTAGAGAGTGCTCTTCTCAGGTTAATGAAGGATATGGAAGACTTCATACAGAAAGTAGCATTTTATTTGACATTTAAAGAATGAGCAAGATTTCAATAATATAGGAGGTGAGGAATACATTCCAGGTAAAAGAATTAAGATGATTGAAGATACAGAAGGGGACAAGAGGAAGATTATAATAACATTTATTGAGTGCCTATTCTATGTTGGGAGCTTTACACACATTTTCTAGTTAATTCTCACAATAGTTTGTGGTGCATCTCAAATTTTAATGTATATGCCAGTTATCTAGTGATTCTTCTAAAATGTAGGTTTTGAATCAGTAGGTTTGGGGTGGGTCTAAGCATTTGTTTTTTGTTTTTGTTATTTATTTATTTATTTATTTATTCAACGTTTATTTATTTTTGGGACAGAGAGAGACAGAGCATGAACGGGGGAGGGGCAGAGAGAGAGGGAGACACAGAATCGGAAACAGGCTCCAGGCTCTGAGCCATCAGCCCAGAGCCTGATGCGGGGCTCGAACTCCCGGACCGCGAGATCGTGACCTGGCTGAAGTCGGACGCTTAACCAACTGTGCCACCCAGGCGCCTTGGTCTAAGCATTTGTAATATGGTCTTAGGGGAGGTTGATGCTCCTTCCCAAGGACCTCACTGAGTGGGAAGAGTGTGGGTGATATAATTGCTGTTGAATAAAGGAGGAACTGAATTTCAGAGACATTTAATTACTTGCTGAAAGTTGGAATTCAAACACAGGTCTTTTTTAAACTCCAAAACCTGTATACTCTTTTCAGTGCACCACACTGACTTCATGCAAAGGAAATGTTTGCACTTGATTCCTGTAAGAGCAGAGATTTAACTAAGGTCTGCGTGCAGCAAAGCAACATGATCAGATTTGTGTTTGGGAAAGCTTAAATGTGTAACTCAGTGTGACATAAAATAAGGAGATCAGGTAAGAAGCCACTGTAATGAATATCTGAACTGAGATGATGTGGGAAGTGAATATATTTGAAGAGTATTGGGCAAGTAGTGTTGGTAAAACTTGACAGCCTATTGAAGAAGACGGGAGCGTGGGTGGCTGGATGGGTGGTGATGCTGGTAACCAAGATAGAAAATTCAGAAAGAAAAGTAAGGTTTTTCTGGGGGGAGAGAATAGGACTGATTTTTATCAAACTTTAATAAGATAGAGTTCCCGTGTTCTAGAAATTTTTAAGGAGTTGGGCCCTAGTGTTCTGCTGTGACTCTTGAAATGGAATCATTATTCCTTGAGAAGAACCTTCCCAACTTTCTTTCTGTAGAGAAACCAACAAGGCGGAAAAGTGATGAAAAGAGCTCTTACTTTGAAGGACCAGAGGAAAGGCCTCTAAAAGTTAGTGAAGTAAGCCTGGAGGGCAGTCCTCCTTTTGAATTAGTAGAGGAGGACTGCCTGAGCTATGATTTCATGTTAATGATATTTTAGATTTTTTTAAATAATATATTTAATCTAGTCATAATACCAAATGTGTATTCCATCTATTTTACATTTTTGCCATCCAGTGTTAACA